GGTTTTTTGTTTGTTTGTTTTTTTTTTTTTTATCCATGAGTGATACCCAGTGTTTGGGATAAATGTGTTCTTTGTCAGAAAAACAGACTTGTCATACGAATCTGCAACCTTTGCCACTAAACGCTCCTCGGAGAATTCATCCCCCACTTCTCCCACAATCAAATTGCAGTTTGCTACGTAAATTAGCTACTCAGCGCCTAGAAAATTCTGAATACAGACTTGCATTTAAGAGACTTAAGTGCTGCAATTTTAAAAACGTGCTCCATACCAATACTGAACATATTCCCACTCCTTCGGTCACGCACACGTGAACTTCCTGCTATTAAAGGCTCCTGCTAAACTGTTTGGAATCTGATGATAATGAAAGCGCAAACAAACTCCAGATCAGTTTTAAAAGAGTAATTGCAATCTCTATAGCAACTGTAAGCTCACAGCTGAGCAAGAAGTGTCTTTTCAGGAGCAATTATCATAGCGAGGTTAGAATAAAGAGAAAAGAATAGCGGCTTTGTCTTTCCGAGTGTTGTTTTTAAGGAAATGGTTGTGGATTTGTGTATTTGTTTCTTTTTCTTTTGCTCCTGTTGGACATCTAGGAATACTCTCCCAGAGTCCTTGAAGTGTGTACTATTGAAAAAGAGTGTGTTTGTCTTCACCAAGGCAGCCTTTTAGTTCCTTCATTTCCATCCGGATCTTGCCTTGCTGGGATTCTTCTTCTCTCCTAAGTGTCAAACGGAAGAGGCCTAAAGAAAAGCGTTATTTGGAAAAAGAACATTTTAGTAGTCTCACATAGTCTTTCCTTTGAGAAACCCCCTATTTTTGTAGCCTTTTGCCGTGTGTTTGTGGAAACTCGTACTGGGCTTGAGCTTTATTTTGCCCCAGCAGGAAATTCTGTACTTAGTTTAATCAGTAGAAGTAGAGACAAAATAAAGGAAAATATAAAATACATTAATAAAAATCTGCAAGGATTTAAATATAATGGTCCAACGGAACGCAGTTACACCATTATGTGTCAGTGCTGGGGCTAGTGCAGTACGTTTAATCAGCAGAAGTAGAGACAAAATAAAGGAAATATAAAATACATTAATAAAAATCTGTAAGGATTTAAATATAATGGTCCAACTGAACACAGTTACATCATTATGTGTCAGTGCTGGGGCTAGTGCAGTACTTCAGCCTGCGTTAGAAATAAATAACAAGAGAGGTGACACTTAATTTCCGTTACGGTTCAGGATATGACACTATCGAATTGTTGAAAAAAGGAAAGGGAAACTCATCGATAGTGAGTAACGGTCCGTTTTTAGTGAGCCTTTATAAAAGTATCACCCAGTCATTCTGACAAAAGCTGCTCAAAAACTGCTAATAAAACACTGATTTAGCATTTGGAAGTAAAGAAGAGCAGATAAAACGAGGTGTGGGGGGAGGCAGGATTTTCTGCTAATTCTTTTTTCCAGAGATTTTCAGACATACATTTTTTTTTTGGAGTTACATTGAGGAATAGCTGAGTAAGGGATACTCTAGAGCAGGTTAAGGTCAAACCTGAATGAGAGGAAGCCAGAGGGCAGGGAGTCTTGGCCACCGTGGGGGTGGAGGCTGTGGTGGCCGGTGGTCAGTGGCCACAGAGGGGCCGAGGGGAGCGGCGGTGGGAGCGCTGGAGTGGGATGTGACTGGTCGAGGAGAGCCTGCCAAGCCCACGATGAAAGGCAAAGGGATTTGGAGGCAGAAGGTTATAGTGGGCTCGTTGGCCGTGAAGAAGTTGCGTGAAATTTTGGTGGAGGGCCGTGGTACCCCATGGGTCTGCTCATCTCAGTCATCACTCCGGACCTCTGGAATAGGAGGGCTTGGGGGCTTTGGTTTCATGGGGTGTTTGCTGTTACAAGTATGTATGTGTGCGTATGAACTAAGCCATTTATGCATGCAATATTTTTTTTTTTTTTCTTGGTTTTAAAGTCTGACATTTCCTGGCTGAAAATCGCTCTGTATCTTTGGGCGCAGGCGGATGGGGGGAGAGTGTTTTGTCGTGTTTCAGAAGGTGTTTGTGGACACGACAGCAGTCGCTGGGTGAAAAAAAGCTCACAGAAGGTTAAAGGAGAGCTATTGCTGCCCAGCACAGGATGCCATGCCCTCTTCCTCTGAAAGGAAGAGCTGAAAATCGCGGGAGTGCTGGAATTTCTGGTGCTCGTGCTCCCTCGCGTGGCTGTTGAAGGATATATAGATAAAAAAACCCCACGGAATTCGGGATGGCAGGTGGGAAGTGTAAAACTTGTAACAAGTAACTGTAATCTGATCGGCATGTGACAGCAACCCTGCAGAAAAGAGCAAAAATTAAGAAAAAAAAAAAATTGCAATTTCATCTTAGACTGAGTTATTATACCTGGTGAAGCAGAATTTTTTTCCAAAGTTCTTTTCTAATGTAATTTTGATCTTATAATTTCCGAGCTGTTAAGAGGTGACTTTTTACATTAAAAACTTAGACCTCTTTTTGTTGCTGTCGTTGCTAAAATAAAAAAGTAAGTAAATTTGGTTTTTCACAGCATTTCAGTCCAGTATAAACAGCACGAGTTCTCCCCATGTCATTGCTGTAGCAATTCCTGCAGACTTGGTAATTCCATAGAGGTTTTTGTTTGGTTTGGTTTCCTTTTCCAGCGCTGGTGTGGGTCGCACAGGCACGTTCATCGTTATAGATGCCATCATAGACATGATGCACGCGGAACAGAAAGTCGATGTTTTTGAGTTTGTTTCAAGAATCCGGAATCAGCGTCCGCAGATGGTTCAGACTGACGTAAGTGAACTTCAGTGGGCTGAAATGGCAACTTTTCATGGTCCAAGAAGAGTATGTTTCTGTATTTCCACTCTGATGTGCATCCCAGTGTGTCTCTTTCTGTTGCACACATGGATAAGTGGAAAATGAACAAAGCCCAGTAAGAAGGATGGGGTTGGGGAAGAAGACAGAGGCATGTGAAGACCACCGTAAACACGTTGTCTTTAGGTACCGTGTCCACGTTTCCCCATGCACAAGAGAGTGGAATTTTAGAGAATGTAAGAGATGTAACAGGAAAACTCTGTTTTAGCTTAAGGTATATTTTGACAATCCAAAGATTGTAGACCAAATTAAATAGATGGAAGCACCAGAATTCACAGTCCCACTTCCTTGCTTTGCAGTGTACTTACATGGCTGGTTTTTGTTGGTTCCAGATGCAATACTCCTTCATTTATCAAGCCTTACTTGAATACTACCTCTACGGTGACACGGAGCTAGATGTGTCATCCTTAGAAAAACATCTACAAACGTCACACAACGCGGCGCCAAACCTTGTCAAAATAGGGCTAGAAGAAGAATTTAAAGTAAGTATGGAAGTCCTTTGCTGTAGGGTTTCCAGGCATGGAAACATTTAAGCCCAAAAGATACTTCAGAAGCAGGAAAGTGTAACCTTAAAAGAAAAGGTCCATCAAAACGGAACAGCTTGTTTTATTTGGTGCTTGCTGTGAATGGGTCCTGCGGGGTGGGTGAGTGGGGCTTTGCTCAACATCCTGTTCTGCAGAGGCTCATTCAAAGCCGACCTCGTTTTACAGACCTTTTCCTATATGCTTTCTGTTTGCTTATAAAAGAAAAACGGGATTATTCTTTTGGTCTGGTACTAGATGCCAGATCAGATAATGCTGGAAGAGGGAGCTGGATTCCAGGCACCTAATCTGCATCTCAACAGGGTTGTTAACTCGATGATGACTGAGGGCAGAGAGAATTGCAGAGGATTTCTACATCTTGTGCTGAATATCCTGACCTGTCAGGAAAGAAAACAACAAAAAAAACCCATTTCTATTTAGTGGAGAAACCCCAAATGCAGAAAGCAGCCACGCTGGCTGTTTGTGATTGTTGTTTAAAAAAGACTTTATTGTCCTGAAGAAATAGTTAGGACTTTTCTCTGACTTTTGCTATGCTAAAATGTTTATTCTGTATATAGGTCTAAAGCATTAAATGACATATGCATCTTAACTGGACTTCTCTCTTTCCTTTAGAGGATTAATTTAATCAGAAATCGAGTACTGGGAAAAGAAAATGACGTAAAAATAAGTCTGATGATACAGCAACAAGTTCAAAATTCAAAAGTATTGGTCTGTCTGAGGGAAGGAACCAAGTAAAAACACTGAGTATTCTACTTTTTCTAGAATGCCTAAGTTAGTTTTCCACTGTGCCAGCAAGACTGCATTAAAGTGCAGAGAGCAACGTTTAGTTCTGCCGTGTTTTCTGAAAAGTGTTTGGATGGCTCAGGAGCACAGAGCCCACCTACCCCAAAACCAGAGTAGAGTTAGGTTGTGGCCAGTGTGAGAGTCTCTGGCATGAAGTCTACTGAACCCAGTGTCACAGAGCATCTGAAAAAGGATTTCTCAGAGGTGGGGGTTTCTTGTCAGTAGTTTGTTGCTGGTACTAGAGGTTTTACTGGAGTTGAAACATGCTCCTGAAACTCAGTACCTGGCAAATACATGCCTGGAAATCTGCTTGCAGTTCAAAAATCAAATTAATTTTCATTTAAATTGAATTTATATTAAATAGTTGCTGAAATGATAGTTATCTGGTAAGTCCCACCCCAGCAGAAGCAGTCTGTTATTGTTGCACAGTTATCTTGCACAATCTTGCAGATGTGTAATCTATATTATAAAAAAGACTGTTGAGGCAAGAGCAGTGTTTGTCTTCTGTGTCCTGGGAATGCTGTCAGCACAAACTGCATAAATTATAAAGAATTTTGGTCCCTTCACCAGCAAAAGCTCAAAAATGTGTAGAGCTAAGTTGCAGGATTTGGTGCACCGTCCCTAAACTCGTGCAGCCTTGTTATGCCAGAGACAGGGTGCTGTGCCGCAGGGAGAGCACGGGCCAGGACTAAAGGACCAGAGTTTTAATATTCTCTATAAAAAGGATTTTTTTTCAGTATTTGAGAACAATGTGGAAATGAAAGCCTGTTACTGCTGGAGGTAACTGGTGGTCAGTCTGCTGCTGCTTACGTAAAGGCTGGAACGAAAAAAAATGAAACTAATTCCATAAAATGGTACGCAGACCTTTTTATTACAAAGTATTTTCAAAAGCGCCTAATTTTGTGAAACTATATGTCAAAGTTTAAAAACATAGAACTTTTCAAGGGGAATGGGTACTCTGTGCTTCGGAAAGCCACGCTCAGACTGCCCAAAAGCGTCTTAAAAAAAAAAAAAAAAAAAGCAACCGAAAAACAAACAGACCCAACAAACAGACCCAAAATGTTAAAATCGACTGTCGTTTTACAGCCCATAAACTTTCCTGATGCACCTTGGGAGCATGTTCAGATTCTCTAGATATTTATCAGCATGAAAAAACTCCATGACTCTTATTCTTACTTCGTTTTTATAGCCAGGACAAAAAGCCAGTCTGGCTTTGGCCGTGCTGTGGTTTTGCACCCGATGAAGAGACGTAGGAACCCTCGGAGCGCAGGATATGGTGAGCGAGAACCACTTCTGTTCCGGTGAGTTCTCACCCTCCTTCGTGTGTTTAATTACAGAAGTTAACGAACGTTCATCTGGCTTTGGCCGCGTTGCGGTTTTGCACCCGATGAAGAGGCAATGGTGAGGATATGGCTCAAAATATGGTGAGCGAGAACCACTTCTGTTCTGGTGAGTTCTCACCCTCCTTTGTGTGTTTAATTACAGAAGTTAACGAACGTTCGGATCATGAAAGAAAACATGAGGACTGGCAATCTCCCAGCAAACATGAAGAAAGCTCGAGTCATCCAGATCATCCCGTGTAAGAGAACAACTTCTCACATATAGAACCGAGTGCTAGAAATCCCCAATTATCCTAAGGCTGTTGTGAGTACACCCTGTATCTACGTGTTGGTGACAACACAGGTCGTACCAGATACAGCTCTGTTGGGATAACTGGAGAGTAGAGCTCCTGCTTGGATTTGGAAACAGGAATTCTGCAAATAGTTACTGCGTATTTCTTAAAGAGAAGAAGTTTTAACTTCTCTGCTAGTAAAATTGAAATGCTTTCAATTGAAATGTGCTGTCCAAAGTGGTGGGTTTTTTGGTTTTGCTTCATTTTTAGCTACAACACTTTTTTTTTTGGTGTTTCTGTTAGCTGTCCCCTTGGTTTTGCTGTCCTCTCTGCAGGCATGTCTGCTCTGAAGATTCTAGAGAACAGAAAACTGACACAAACAGCTCTATCCTCTCCTTACAAAGTGCAATGCCCTTGTAAAGTGTCTGCAAACAATTTAATGAATCGTTTTTTGCTTCATTGACGTAAAAGATCTTACGATCAGATATTTTTCAGGGCTGAATGAAATGATTTGGCAGTTTCACCTCTTAAACGTAGTTTCTGAGCGATTCCTTGCACAGTCTGGAGCAGCATGGTCATGTCTGCACCGGAAAATGAAAGTTTGAGACCTTGCTGGCCATATCCTGTGTGAATGGAAAAACCAGCACCCTCCTCCACGCACTTACTAAATCCTGGATAAGATCTTTGAGACACTCTTTGGTTTTTAGATAAAAGATTTTGTTGGTTTTGGTCTTTCACTCCTGTCATAGTACAGTTAGAATGTCAAGGTACAGTTAGCAAAAGTAAGACTAGACTTTTTTTTTTTTCAGATGATTTTAACAGAGTGATTCTATCAATGAAAAGAGGGCAAGAGTACACAGACTACATCAATGCCTCCTTCATAGATGTACGTATAAAAACTTTCCATGTATTTAAACTGCAAGTCAAATATTTTGCTGTTGCTGATAAGTCTTTTTAAAGAGACACAATCAACTTGGCTTGTGAAGAATATTAGCTTTTTTGTTTGGATTTGGCTTATGAGAATTTCCAAATACGTTTCTTATCTGGTGTTTTCAATTTCAGTTTAAATGGTTGTGCAATTTAAACGTTCTTCTTGTTGTTAGATTGATAAACTCAGAGTTTTATTGAATTCTGAAAAAGAGACAGCGAAACAAATTAGCTATAGAACTAACATCCAACAGTTTCATTATCTGCGTTCAGGTTAACAGATGTAAATATGTGCTGTTCTGAGGAAAGGGGGAAAAAAAAAGTCCATATTTAGCATGAGGAAAAGCTGTCTTAGTGTTTGGGAGCCTGGGTAAACCCAGACCTGCATTAATTCCTAACTTGGTTCCCAGATTCCTCTTGGAATCTGGGCAACACCTTCCACCCTGTCTTGTTTTTATTTAAATATGAGAATTAATTAGATCCTTAAGAAGTAAAACCCCATTAGTGGTGGAGGATTGTGGATACTGCAGCTGTGAAGACCACATCCATCAGTACATAAATAGAACTGTAGCTCACAAACTGAGTTAAATGTTATTTCTGTGGCAAAGCCAATAGCTGCAGCTGTGATACTCTCGTCGGGAAATCCTTTCGGTTACCTGTTCCTGCACAATTTCATTCCTTCAGCCACGGCTGTAAAAAGTCTTAAAATACAACTCAGGATTGTGAATTTGGGGGATCTTTTCCTGCGTTTCTGGCAAAGAGCAAAATTTGGGTGGGCTCAGTGTCACCAGATCTGCAGTACCCATCACAGCAGGGCTCACGGGAAGCACCAGTTTGAGTGGTGACCTCTCTGTCCCCCCCTCACTTGTACTCACGTGTCGCGACATGAGCGGGTCGTGGTCTCCCTCCGCAGGGCTATCGCCAGAAGGATTACTTCATCGCCACCCAGGGCCCGCTGCCGCACACGGTGGAGGATTTCTGGCGGATGGTGTGGGAGTGGAAGTGCCACACCATCGTGATGCTCACAGAAGTCCAGGAGCGGGAGCAGGTACGTGTCCCGCAGCTGCTGTTAACAGCTGTAAAACATGAGCATTAATATAATTAATTAATAATTAACAAATCATATTAGACAGATGATTTGTTGCCTACAAATTATAGTGATGAGAGATTTTTTTTGCCTTTCCTAGAATGAGCACTTGCTTCACTGTTTGGTGTGGGACAATGTTGGTGCTTTTGCTTGAATTGTCAGAAACCCCACCAAAAAACCACTGAAAATTATAGAATCACAGAATGGTTTGGGTTGGAAGGGACCTCAAAGATCACCTAGTTCCAACCCCCTGCCATGGGCAGGGACACCCTCCACTACTCCAGGTTGCCTAAAGCCCCATCCAACCTGGCCTTGAACACTTCCAGGGATGGGGCAGGATGTTTGTGCTGTGAATTTTATTTTATTTTTTTGGTAGTGGTTTGGGAGTCTCTTTAACAACACTGCATTGCTTCCAGGAGTTATTGCTCTTTTATTCCGATCTGTTTTAAAACGGTATTTGCCATCTGTGACACCAAAGCCCTTCTCATCTTCATGGTTTATATTACAGAACTATTTTATTACGGGATTCTTAGTTATTAGCCTTTTCATTACCAAGTGTTTAGAACACGTTTATTACATTGTATGTCATATCCTAGATCAGAGGTTCAGGACGATGTAGATAACTGGAAAAAATTTCAAGGAACGTTTACAATTCTCTCTTAATTTTGCAGGAAAAGTGCTGCCAGTATTGGCCATCGGAGGGCTCCGTGACTCACGGAGAGATTACCGTGGAAATAAAGAATGACAGTCTCTTAGATGCCATAAGCGTAAGGGACTTTATAGTTACATACAATCAGGTAATGGTTTTAAATTAGATGACAGTTTTTTTTTGTTTGTTTGTTTGTTTGTTTGATTTTCATTTAAAGGCATTTACAAATATGATTGTGTAACTTAAATGCTGGAATTTCTATCTAAAGATAAATGTGGTTAATCGGAATCCAGCATTGTATCAGTCAAGTCAAAGCTTATATGAAACATTTTTGCTTAAAAGCCCATGAAAATTCTGGTCAGTAAAACATGTCCTTGATCAAAGTGGGGTGTGCAGTTTTTTAGGGTTTTTTTGTGGTTTTTTGTTTGGTCGGTTGGTTTGGTTTGGGGTTTTTTTGGTGGTTGTTTGTTTGTTTTGGGAGTTTTTTAATGTTTTGTTGCTGCTGTTCTTCTTGTATTTCCTCCCATCTCCCACATATCTATAAAAGAACATTTGGTTCCATATTTTTAAATCCTGTGAAGCATTTTAACAGCACATGTACTTACCTCTGCAGCTCTTCCATTGTGTTGCCCTGCTACAGGCATGATCTACTCAAAACCAAGTTTTGATCTTTAGGGCATGCATCTCCTCACTGCATCATTTCTTTAGGATCTGATTTGCATTGCTCTTTTTGGAAAAAGAAAAAATTCCTGGCAGTTAAGAATATAATTCCTTTAACTACTTTCTACATTGCATATAATTTATGCACTTAGATAGTTGACACATGCAAAGCAAAAGTATTTAAAGCTCAAGTAACAACATGGTAAGTGATAGCCAAACAGCAATGGCTTTGCAGTATGATCCAGGATTGTTAGAAGTGTTTGCTGCTGCAGATCAAAGAAATCTGATTAACTTTTGTGTTGTGCCTGAGTCCAGCTACACTACCTCAATGACATTTGAAGCAATATTATGTTAAAAGATCTCCTGCAGAGCTGGGAGGAAGGACTGACCAACCCTTTTTCCTCATAATTCTGACATCTTCCAGGCTTCCAGTACAAAATAGTGTCTTGAGACTTCCCACCAAACTTGTTCACCAGATGTCCGTTATGGTGGGACATGCTGACAGCACCTAGCATCAGCAGAGACCTGGTGTTCTCAACAACCCATGGCTTGCAAGAGTTCATAGAATCATAGAATGGTTTAGTTTGGAAGAAACCTCAAAGATCATCTAGTTCCAAACCCCCTGCCATGGGCAGGGACACCCTCCACTACACCAGGTTGCTCAAAGCCCCATCCAACCTGGCCTTGAACACTTCCAGGGATGGGGCAGCCACAGCTTCTCTGGACAACCTGTTCCAGTGCCCCACCACCCTCAAAGTAAAAAATTTCTTCCTTATATTCAATCTCAATCTCCCTTTCAGTTTAAAGCCATCGCCCCTTGTCCTGTCACCACACACCCGTGTAAAAAGTCCCTCACCAGCTTTCCTGTAGGCCCCCTTCATGTACTGGAAGACTGATGATATGTAATATTACATATCAGTTGATATGTAATAATATTGCCAGAATTTGAATGTTGCATCCATACGCTGTTATAATGCAGTCATGGGAAGCAGCAACCCAAAATTTCAGGCTAGTTAAAGAGCCTTTTGACATCTAAACCAGTCTAGAGCTAACTGCTAACTGGAACTTTTGGTGTGCTTTTAATCAGCAAGCATCAAGGCAAGGCAAATAATTGTTAAGTTTCCAAGTAGTGTTGTGCAAAGCCAAGTGTGTTTCATGAGTTGAGTTGCTCCAGTGGCACTTTGCGTGGGGCCCGTGCACGCTGGGAGCTTTCACCCAGGGGTGCTCAGGACGAATAATCTGTAAGTGTCTCCTTAGTACTGCCCAGGTGAAGCAGCTGTGCAAATGAAGAGGGAAATTATGAGGGTAAATTATCAGGATAATTGTTGGGGAATTTAGAACAAAGCTGTTGAGTCTACATTTCCAATATATTATGAGCTAGCCCCCATATATACATATATACAGCCCCTTCCGCTATAGCAGTGCAAAATTTGTGCTAGAAATGTTTAAGGTAAGAAGTGTGTTTTGATTTTGAAGTAACAGCTGGATAAACGTGGTGTTTTCCTGCACGCAGGGTAACCAGGAGAAGCAAAGCAGGCTCGTTCGGCAGTTCCACTTCCACGGGTGGCCAGAAATCGGGATTCCTGCCGAAGGAAAAGGGATGATCGACCTGATTGCAGCTGTCCAAAAGCAGCAGCAGCAAACAGGCAATCACCCGATTACGGTGCACTGCAGGTAAGACTTGCCTCTTCTCCCCACCATTAGCTAAGGAACCCGCTTGCTTTTTATAGAATCGTAGACTGTTTTGGGTTGGAAGGGACCTCAAAGATCATCTAGTTCCAACCCCCCTGCCATGGGCAGGGACACCCTCCGCTACACCAGGTTGCTCAAAGCCCCATCCAACCTGGCCTTGAACACTGCCAGGGATGGGGCATCCACAGCTTCTCTGGGCAACCTGGTCCAGTGCCTCACCACCCTCAGAGGGAAAAATTTCTTCCTTAGATCTAATCTTAACCTCCCCTCTTTCAGTTTAAATCCATTGCCTCTTGTCCTATCACTACACACCCTTGTAAAAAGTCCCTCTCCAGCTTTCCTGTAGGCCCCCTTTAAGTACTGGAAGGCTGCTGGAAGGTCTTCCCGGAGCCTTCTCTTCTCCAGGCTGAACAGCCCCAACTCTCTCAGCCTGTCTCCAGAGCAGAGGTGCTCCAGCCCTCGGATCATTTTTGTGGCCTCCTCTGGACCCGCTCCAGCAGCTCCACGTCCTTCTTGTGTTGGAGACTCCAGAGCAGAACACAGTATTCCAGGTGGGGTCTCAGGAGATCAGAGCAGAGGGGCAGAATCCCCTCCCTCACCCTGCTGCCCACGCTGCTTTGGATGCAGCCCGGGACACGGTTGGCTTTCTGGGCTGCCAGCGCACGGTGCCGGCTCATGTTGAGCTTCTCACCCACCAGCACCCCGAAGTCCTTCTCCTCAGGGCTGCTCTTGATCCATTCTCTGCCCAGCCTGTACTTGTTCTTGGGATTGCCCCGACCCACATGCAGGACCTTGCACTTGGCCTTGTTGAACTTCATGAGGTTCTCACAGGCCCATCTCTCCAGCCTGTCGAGGTCCCCGCTCTAGTTGCTTTTACAGCAGTTTTTCTTTGTAAGGGAGTAGACGACATCACTTAAAAAATAAATAGAAATTAAGAAATAGGAGAAAAAGATGGAAGAAAAAAAAAAAGAAAACACTAGGATTGCATTAAGGATTTATGGCTTCTCTTTTGCTACGTGAGCAAAGTGAGTGCCTTAACGATATCCTTAATGGCTGGAATTAAACAAGTGTGTGTGTGTTCCTAATTTGTGGAGTTGCAGCCTTGCACCTGAGTTTTGCGAAGCGCAGGGATCAGGGAAGCAAAGCTGTAGGTTTATTGGGGTGGTGTGTAATGCACCCCACCCACACGGTGCTCCAGTGTTCTCCTGGGATCCAAATGCTGTTGGCTTTCACAAACTATCAGGAGAATAAAATACATCCCTGATCTAAGCACAAGGCAAAATGTATTCTTGTCCTTGGAAGCAGATGCAAGAGCTGGGAGGACAGGGAAAATGATGTTTATGTTAATGGTGAGAGGTAGCTTGTGTGTGACGTGGTACGTGAGAACTAGAATCTATCTGTCCTGTGCCAGTTTTTCACTTTTTAGGGTTTTTTTTTGAACTGTACTTTTTTTATTGCGGGTTTTTCTTTTTTTAAAAGGTGTATATTGGGCTTTTCCACTCTTTTTTCAAATGATATTTTTCAGAGAATGTTTTTTTTTTGTCAGCCTTTTTAATTTGTCTTTTTCCTTTCTGTACTACATCTGCTGGTTTTAAAAAACTAGTATTCTGCCTTTTCTAATTCATAAATCATACTTTGCTTTTGAAGTATTTTAATCTTTGTAAATCAATAAAGCTTCTTCTGCCTTCTGGTCAATACAAAGTCAAGTTCACAGTACACAGGGACAGGGTCAGAAGGGTTCCAGAGCCTTCAGAAGAGAAGTTCTTAGGTTTTGGTCTGTTTTTTTTTTTATGTAAGAAGTTATTAATCTGAAGAGATCACCCTTTTCCATGAGCCTCTTTACTGCTTGGAGAGCTTGGACCTGTTCTGGGTGATGCACTGACCAACTCCCATCTGCTCCTTACCCAGCAGGAGAGTTTTCAGGGGCCACATCTCTGCTGTGTCCACCTAAGAGCTCCTGCAGTGTAGTCTCTCTTGTGGTTGAAGCTCACAGGCTCAACCACAACATAAAAAAGTAATAATTGTTTCTTCTCTACCCTCAAAATCAATTATTTAATTCATGCTAAACACTGGCTTTTTAAATCTTTCCCCCTTGGGCATGTTGTACAAGATAAACTAGTTTTGCTGGACCATGGTTGTCTTTTAGCAATAGATGGAGGTCAGGTTCCTGACATCTCTATATCTAAAAACATCTGGTTGATTAACTGTGATATTTTCTCTACCTGTCTGTGATCCCAGTCCTGAGCAATGCTTGGCACCCACTTGGTGACCAACCCCCCTATGACTCCCTATGGCATGGATAAGCTGCTCCAGCCTTTTATCTGGGAGCTAGATAACACGATGCTGCTTCTGGATTTTTCCCACCTTTCAAAGAATAATCCATCTGGGTTTGAATGAGTACCTGGTTATGTTTTCTTCTGAAAAAAAAAAAAAAAAGTACTGTATTTATTTTTGTGACACTGAAATTGTTCTTGCAGCACCATCTACAGGGAAGTAGACTCACTGACCATTTGGAAATGTTTCGATAGGAGAACCTGTCTGCTTGCTACTGGAGTTAGAAATAGGAATGGGCGTAATACAGCGGTTCTCTGCAGCGTACACTGGCTTTTATTTTGCTGTGGTTTGAGTTTCAAAGGTGCCATCTCAGTCTGAGTATGATGGTTTGTGGCTGCCTGTCTGCAGTGTCACCTGCGTTTTCATGCACTGTTGAAGCAGAGGTCCAGGGAGCTTGAGCCAGGACTGGGATTTATTCGTGTTTTGGGACATGGTCTTGTACCGATGCGTATTGCTTGCTAAAACTTTCTCCTCCTTGCTTCAGAACTGTTTTGCTCTTTGCTGTATTCATACATTTTCCCCAGGGGGACTGTGGGTTCTGCACGCAATGGCGATGATGACATTTTGTGTTTGGTTCTGCAATTTTAACAACCGCCTTTTTTTTTATTGCTGGGGAGTTAAAATTCTGAATGATAAGATTATCATTATATATTTGATTAGATAGAAGATATTAGATTAGATAAGATATTAGATATTTGATTAGACCTAAGGAAGAAATTATTCCCTCTGAGGGTGCTGAGGCACTGGCACAGGTTGCCCAGAGAAGCTGTGGCTGCCCCATCCCTGGCAGTGTTCAAGGCCAGGTTGGATGAGGCTTTGGGCATCCTGGTGTAGTGGAGGGTGTCCCTGCCCAGGGCAGGGGGTTTGGAACTGGATGATCTTGAAGGTTCCTTCCAACCCAAACATTCTATGATTCTACAATTAATTTGGGTAAAATAGCCCGGAGTTCTGGCCAATAAAATAAGAGGTAAAAGTAACTGATGTCTTTGATGTGCACAGATTAGATGCGTAACAACTATCCGAGATATTTGTTGCTTCGACTTTTCCAGGCTTTTAGACCTGCAGCCTCTCTGAAGCCTTAGCTTAATCATTTGGCATGATTAAACAAGAAAATAAAACCCAAACCACACAATGTATTCTAGGATTTTTAATGCTGAGAATTCTCTCCTGCCCCTACTTGGACAGCCTGAACATCACAGCTTTTGAGTTCCTTGAACCTCTCCGTGAAGTCATACTTGAGTCTTCAAATAATGTAAATGAACGTAACTTTATGAATAAGTAAACACATTTCAAGTCTAAGACTGATTTTTTCAGAGCGTTCACATGAACTTTTGAAAACTTCTCTTCATTTTTTCCAACTGTTTAAGAAGAACAGTTTAAGGAGCTGCTAAAAAAGATAATTAAGTAGAATCAAGACATAACCTAAGTAATTTAGAAGGTTGCCAATAGAACTGTTGCCAACAGTAATTCTGAGTTGCCAACAGAATTCAAAGCCAATCTGTTTGAAACCTGAACTCCCTGTCTCAAGAAATAAAGTTTGAGTCAAATTTAAAAGTTATCTTTCTTAAGTTTTTTTTTTAAAGGGCATTGCAGAAAGAGAAGCGAGTATGCAAAGAGTAGTGCTGTGTTCCCATGAGAAAATACATATTTTCTCCTGCATTTTAAATGCAGTTTAGATTTCCATGCATCTGTACTAAAAAAATCTTAAATTAATCTAAAAAAAAATAAATATATTGGCTTTAAGGATTTGCTAAAAGCATGTTTTCAGAAGAGAGTGAGTCTGGCATTATCTGCCTCTTCTAGGCATAAATGAAGAAGCAACGCGTGTGATGATGTGTGTGTACAGGTTTACTTTAGATCTTCACGTCCTCATCTTATGATAGTTGTAGACCTCTTCCAAAATGCATTATTCAGGGATGGCTCTGGAAACCACAGATGGCTACTGGAGATTAGTAATTACAAATAAATCTGAACCCTTTTAGGTTTTGGATTTGTCTTTAATCCGATAAAAGTAAATGTCTAAAGGGAACAACACATCTAATACATCGTACCTGTTCATGTTTCCTCCAGTGAGACTTTTAATGCACCCAGCTGAGGATACATGCATTTGCACTTAATCTTTTCATAAGGCTTATGCTTATCAGATTTTTTTGTATTTGATAGAATCATAGAATTCATAGAATTTTTCATATTCATAGAATCATAGATTTTTTTTTCTATTCGATAGAAATAAGGTAGAAGCAATGACATGTGATTACAGTTCAGCTACTTATGATTAAAACACATGAAAATTTAAAATGTAGTAAAGTATTTTGTGTTTATGCTTATTCAGTGATCCAGTGAATTTTCCGCTCCGTTGTACCGTTCGTTGCCAATTTCCCAATCCCATCCTGGTTTTAGTAACTATTCCCTATCAAAGCTGTCAGGGTTCCAGTGCACAGCCACTGTTTTGTTGGTGTCAAATAGTCCTTAATTAATGTGATTAGGAGAGAGAAAGCAGTCTTTTTTTAAGTTTCTTTTTTTGGCTCTGGAAGTTAGGCATAATAAATCAGGTAGCAGTTACTGAAATATATTTTTGGTTCCACGGAATCATGATCTGAAACAGATACAAGGACAAATATTGAGTCAAATGTACTGAAACAAAAGAAACTACAGGTACTTGGGAGTATGTTAGTTTGTTTTTTGTAGTCAAGATAGAGGCAGAACAGTCAATTTTTTAGTTTCTTGTATGTAGCGTAGCCTCGTGTGTCGCGTTGCTTTAGTTTGTCCTCACATCAGTAGATCTGTCTGAGAAATGGCTTAGATCGTGAGAGTCATTAAACTCATTACAGTTGGATAGGACATTTTCTATCAAATTGTTTTGAAGTAATAATAATTATAATAATGCTTTTGTATCTGCCCACCATGCACAAGTATAAATCCCAACCTAATAGAAAACCGTGGGTTTGATCGCCCAGCGCTTCTTTGCGTTGTAATCAAGTTTTGCAACTGAAAGTCCGAAGGTTGTGTTCTGCCCCATCAAGAGTAAAACCTGGGAGCACCAAAAGTTGTCTTTGCTGAAGATGAACGCAGGTTTGAGGTAGCAGCTTTGCCAGTTCGTTATTTGGGCCTCAGACTTTGGTGGAGGGCGTCCACGTGCTGCCGCAGCCGGCTCAGGATCTCCCAGTTGCGTGGGAGAAGCTGTCGGTAACGAGCCTTTGTGGGTTCCAGCCTGGCTCCGAGTTATTCCATCCATTCTGGCTGAGGTGACAAACTAAGCACACAAAAAAAAAACACCACAAAAAAAAAAAACAAACACCAAAAAAAAACTGAATAGAAGTTGACTAATAGTAGTATTTTGCTCTCCTGAGACCCCACCTGCAGTACTGCGTTCAGCTCTGGGGTCCCCAACACAGGAAGGACATGGAGCTGCTGGAGCGGGTCCAGAGGAGGCCACGAAGATGATCTGAGGGCTGGAGCATCTCTGCTATGGAGACAGGCTGAGACAGTTGGGGCTGTTCAGCCTGGAGAAGAGAAGGCTCCGGGGTGATCTTATAGCAGCCTTCCAGTGCCTAAAGAGGGCCTACAGGAAAGCTGGAGAGGGACTTTTTACAAGGGCGTGTAGTGATAGGACAAGGGGTGATGGCTTTAAACTGAAAGAGGGGAGATTTAGATTAGAGATAAGGAAGAAATTTTCCACTCTGAGGGTGCTGAGGCACTGGAACAGGTTGCCCAGAGAAGCTGTGGATGCCCCATCCCTGGAAGTGTTCAAGGCCAGGTTGGATGAGGCTTTGGGCAACCTGGTGTAGTGGAGGGTGTCCCTGCCCATGGCAGGGGGGTTGAAACTAGATGATCTTGGAGGTCCCTTCCAACCCAAACCGTTCTGTGATTCTCTGATTCTCTTGTAACACTTTTATCCATGTTAAGCAGATGTGTTTCCGTTGCAGTGCTGGCGCTGGAAGAACCGGTACGTTCATAGCACTCAGCAATATTCTGGAACGAGTGAAGGCTGAAGGGCTCTTAGATGTATTTCAAGCTGTGAAGAGCTTAAGACTGCAAAGGCCACATATGGTGCAAACACTGGTATGATATTTAACAATCCAGGTCCTTGTCAAAGGATGGATGTTTGTAAATACGCTCGTGGGAGGAGTACAAAGGATTTTTTTTTTTTGCAGGTTGAAATAAATTATGTATGGTGGCTGTGTACATACAAAGTATTAGCAGAAATCTATATTTTTACCGATTTTTTTTTTATAGCATTTCTAAAAATATAACCTGGCTAAACATTCTGTGTCTTCTAGGAAGTGGAGACAGTTAAACTAAAATCTTTTGAGTGTTGCTGGTGACAAAATATGAAGTAAATGCCTTTTAAGTTATATATCAGTTGTTGTTCTTTCTTACTTTAAAATGTCTGGGCTTAAATTGGCGTGCAGTTGATAACTGAAAGGGAGAAATGTCTTTAACTTGTGTAAAGTCATCTACAAGTAATGTGTGAAGCTTAGTCCAGACACTTTTCCCTGTTGGATAAGCATTAAAAAAATTTTTTTGAGAGATATGCTTTTGGACAATATATAAAAATGCTGATATTTTGTATTTTGATAGCAGCTGCCACTCTGTGATTTGAAACTTCTTTGGAAACAATTACCTCAAACCACCTTTTTCAGGTAGATGTTTTCTCCATAGTACAGATAGGAAGAAAGGGGTTGAAGTAGAGTTGGATTATCCACAGTCATGCTGAGAGAAGGCTGAAATATTTCTTTTGGTGTTCTGGCTCTGCGATTTAATAACGTTAGTTAAGGGTGTAATTGCCACGGATATTCCCAGCTGAGCCCACGGAAAGGCTTCTGCTAAACTCTGCTTTCCAGCATGAGTGAATTTGGATGCCAGTTCCATTTATTATCAGTGTTGTTACAGATTTTGTAATCCAGTAAATCCTGTTGAAGGCATATCAGCATGCCTGGAGGATCAGGATGTGTCCCACCTTCGGGATGCCAGCGGGCTAACGTAGGCAGTGGGTAAATCCATTGCAGACGGCCACTGCAAGGGGAGCTCCGTTCCAGACAGATGAATGTAGAGGGTTTTTGATGTTCTATACATTGATAGTGACATAGTCAGAGGGTATATTGTCTGTTTGTGGTGCCGAGCTCAGGAGATGGAGCCCAGTTCCAGAGCTGGGCTCCCTGGGGAAGGCGCAGGAGGAGTTACTGCCTCAGTGTGAGCCAGGTACCATGAGCTGCTTAATTTAAATGAGAAGACAGGTCTAAGGATTGATTAGTTTTAAGAACTGTCATCTAGAAAGCTTAAAGAAATCATTGTAACTGATGAGCCACAAGGTACCATCGCTTTTCTTCTAAAAAATAAATACATAAATAAAAATGCAGTCCTAAGCTACTGGTCCAGGTAATGGTCCAAGTGGGAACGTGTTGCATTTACCACCAGGATTTGCATAAGTATGATTTTCTCCAATGTATTTATACAAGGCAACCAAAGCACATTTTGATAACTTTTTTTATTGTTTTTCAGGAACAGTATGAATTCTGCTACAGAGTGGTACAAGATTTCATCGACATATTTTCGGATTATGCTAATTTCAAATGAAAATTCCTGCCTTATTTTTTAATTTGTCTCTATAAATAGTTGTATATTCTGTTAATTTATTCCATGTCATTTTGATTGTTGACTTTACTGTAAATACGACCTAGTGTTTGCTCTGAAAGTTGCATTTGCTGTATAAAGTTATTTCTTAAATATAAATATCTTCTAAAGCGAAGTATAATGTTCATATACAGTATATCACTATGAGATGGTATAGAAATCTTTATTCTAAATAACAGTAAATTAATTCTTGAGGGTCTATTTCTTTGAATTTTTCCACTTATAAATATTTATCAATAACGTTATCTCCCAATTCTTGAAACTTTACGCAGGTGATTTTCATTTCATGCCAAAAAAAAAAAAAAAAGTGAATTGTGGTACATATATTTAAATGAACCATGTTTTGGCCATAAACCTTTCTTCACTATGAAAATAGATGTTTTATTTCGGGGACACATTCTGATAACCTGCTCGTGCTGACTTGTGATTTATTTCACAGATAGTCTCACTGAAGGCAAGGAGACTGTTCGAGTGAAGTGCTATTAATGATAAAGGTATCAGAATATGACCCTTCATGTGTAATAATATAATTATTACTGAAAAATATAGCTGCTTTTAAAGTCTGTTTTTAAGAACCTCCAGCTTGATGGCAGTTCTCTTTTGAGTCTTACTGTCAATAAGATATAATCAGTATAAATACAGATTTTGATTTTTGATTTAATATAGCTTTCAAAGTCCATTTATTTTGTTCTTTCCTAAATGTTACACCAGCTTAAATCAATTTAGAAAGACAATAATGTGAGTTTACCACTATTTTGAGACTATTTTGCATATCAGAAGAGTATATTTTGCAGCACCTGAATTTGTCTACTTGTAGAGGCTTTATAACCATTGTCAGAAATTGATATAAAGCTTCTCTGTATACATGTGCATAATTTCCCACTTCTTTGAGGCCAGGTGGAAGAGATGAAGATGAACTCATTCCTTGATTCAACTCAACAGAATACTTAACAGTAGTTGCTAAAATTTCAAAAAAAATGTTTTACTAACAGTGTGATGCTAGCAACATTAAGCATTGTAGCAAAAAGCTTCTCTACCTTCTTCCCCTCCCATATATATTATCAAAAAAGGAATGATTCCTTTATCTAAAAGGGGTATATGATTGTGTAGATAGATATATTTTTAATGAAAGTACTACTGGTAATATAATTGGTGAAATAAAGTTTAAAAGTCTCTATCGTAGCCCTGTACAGGATACGCTTGGGGGTTGGAAAATGCAAAAATCACAGGGCATCGGAATGTTGAATAATTAAAAAGTATATCTTTTCCACTCTCTAAAAGGCATATATGAATTAATGAGCACAAAGTATGCAAATACGTACTTTAATTATGTAACTAATATGCAATAGCTCTGTCTTGTCCAGATGGTTGGGTTCCTTCAATGCAAACACAAAAGCCTTATTTAAAACACGCAACTTCCACTCATCATTTCACGATCGTTCTTGCACTATTTTCTCCCACGACTGTGTTTCGTTCCCGATAACCAACAGCATCCCACTTTGTGACAACGCAAGGAAACGGGAAGGTGTCCCTACCTCTCCTCTCGGCTCCTACGGCATGGAAAAGGCGCAGTTTAGAGATTCCTAAGCACACTGTTCTGAACACTGCCATTTACTGCTTCTTGTCTTCCCATGGATGCACTTCTGTATTTATTTGTACAGTAAATTATGCACTTAAAAAAGATTGTTTGAAGACTGAACCTGTGTTGTGAGTTGATCTGAGAAGACACACTCAAGCCGCGGAAAGCACTGAGTAACGAAAACAAATGCCAAGTGAAGTTTACACTATTACTGCATGCTAAAATTTGATCCAGTTTTGAAAAGCCATCAAATAAATTCGCTGTGGAAAGCTGTACAGTGGGGTTTTCAGTATGATCATTCGTAGCACAAGGAGACTCAGAGAGGTTAAACGATGATAGAAAACAATGCCAAGAAATTCCCACCGTTTCCCAAAGCAGCATGGTTTTTTTTGGTCCCGTTTGATCCCAACGTCAGGATCTTTCCAAACATTTAGCCTACATTTGAAAAATAATTTGTCTGTTGGGACAGCCTTTTGGGTCCCTTCAGGAAGAGCTTGGATGGAGAGTTGCCTCGTGAAGCACAACTCCACCTGCCTGCGGGGTTTACTACACGGATCGTTCTGCAGGGGACAGGCAGCTCTTCCAAGTAGTAGGTGGAGTTAATCAAATCCTAAGTGGGTACTCAGATTTTAGTTGCTAACTCTATTAAGATATCTAGGAGGAAACAGAAACACCTATATTTCAGAAGTCATAAATATAGCTACATAATGACTTTTTTTTTTAAATCATTTACAAAGCTTGCTTTCCAGTTCTTGTGTTTGGTCCACAGACTGCTGGTCGCAGCAGCCTAGTAACTGGGGAGCTCTGTTTGGTATAGATATATCTGAATTTTCTGGTTACATTTTCCTCTGTTGCATGGAATTACTTTAAAAAGCCAAATAGTCGATTAGAAGTCGTACATTCTGATCTGTCTGTGGTTTTGGTCACTATGTGACTGGACTGTTTTCATGTGTTAAAATGGGTTCCAGTTCACCCAAGCATTTAAGCATTGGCTTTAACGACATCCCTGTTCCACAAAACATTCAAGTACCACAGGTTCTTTGTTCCTGAAGCAATCCCTTAAGTGCTTTGCTGAATTGGGCCTTAATGAAGAATGCAGACTGTAATTACCGGTGTTTTCTAGGGTATTTTTACCTCTCAGTTTTCTAAACTTTTCAAATGAGCCTGACCGCCTGTGTTCAGCATTTCGAAATGTTCTCATTTCCCTCCTCCCATTTTTAATGTAAAGTTATGGAAACTTTTCTGTATAACCAAATTGTATTTAATTTGTCAAATCTTTATAATATATGTATGTATTATACGGTTTCAGCTATCATTATTTTCTTTTATTACATTTATAATTTGATCTCGCTGTGTTTTTAATGCCTGTGAACGTTGCTGAATTATTTGTATATGCAAATTGCAAGATCTAATACATTCTGATGCAAGAACAAAGCTTCGTTTTTATTCTCAAACTGCATTACTTTCTTTAAATCTTTGAATTTCATTCCTGTACTGTGCGTTCATTTAAATGAAGTATTCTAAAGGAGTTGAAAGCCATTATCTATCTAGATAAATAATTTTTCAGTGCTTATCTGCAGCTATTTGGAAGCGATAGTCAGATTCGCGTTGTAGCATCCCCGGGACGTGGGAGCGGGTTTCTGTCTCGGAGGGAGACGGGATTTCATGGAATGGGAAGGTTGGTGAGGGGGGAGAGAGCTCGCTCACAGCACGCCAAAGCTTTTCTGTTGTTTTCTCTGGCAGTTTTAGTAGTGCTGTGGTACGCTATGGATAAAAATAGGAGCTTAACTTTCAACTGTGTCACCCACCATTAACTGAAAGCCCACTCTTGTTAACAGCAATTTCTTCCTTAATTTCAACAGGCTTTTATTGGACCTCACGTGCCAAAAGTAGTCCTGATGGCCCCCTGTTGTAAGGAGCGTCAGGGGAGGTTTAGGTCAACCAGGAGTAACTGCTGAAAGATTACAATCCTAATGTCGAGCTGATGTCACTGGGATTTGGAAAGATTGAAGGCTGCCCAGGGAGGTGGTTGAGTCCCCATCCCTGGATGTGTTTAAGAATAGGGTGGATGATCTACTTGAGGATATGGTTTAATGGGGATTAGGAATGGTTGGACTCGATGATCTCTAAGGTCTTTTCCAACCTAGAAATCTATGAATGAATCTATGAATGAATGTTATTTGTCACGTGTGATTTCCCGAAGCAATGTTTGTGTGTTTGACCCCCTTAGCCCTGTTTCATGGGAACACCCGACACAACCTTTTCCAGTGTAGGTGGTTTCTGATTCCTTTTTCCAAACTTGTGTGGAAGAACTTTTAGTTTGCATGTGCTTCTCATGCGCTGTATGTTAACGTGTCACAGCGCTTCATTTTCGGATGTTTATCAGATGCCTCGTTCTAAAATCTAAATACTTGCACTTGGTAATCACGCTGCTTTCCACACAAATTGAACCAGCCAGGAATAACTGCAGCAATGTGTTTGCCGGGAGTAACTTTGCTTCAGTGTTGCTTTCTGGAGGCAGGAAGCATGTGCATCCTGAAGAGATGTCTTTGCTTCATGGAAAAGGGAGATTTAACAATCGAGGATTCGCCTGCTGAGTTCGAAATACAGGGGTACACTGCACGGAAACACAAGAGCCTTTAGGAAATTAGTGTTGGGGAAAATATTGCCGTTTCCTACTGCGATACTAAATAGCACCAAGTTAAGAGTAATCTTTTTCACTCCATGTAAAAGCTATTAATTTTTTTTAATAACTCCGGATGATCCGATAAAATATTTTGTGTGAGTGGATCGTATACTTTTAGCAGATATCAAGATGCACAGCTGGTGGGCCCACTGAAGGTTGACTTTGTGGGAGAACAGACAGATGCCTTTGTGTGGTTTCAGAAAACAGAAGCATCTCAAGTGTTATCAGTTACTAATTAATCATTGCTTAATTTGAATAATTATTGATAATCATAAATAGTGATTACTACGGATCTACACAATTTCTAGTGTAACAAGTATAGCAATATCATCATTTTCAGATGATTCAAGCTAAATAATGGGAATTTCAAGCTACAAGATGAAGAAAGACTCTGTGTTCATCTTGGTGAGCTTCTGCGGGTCTGTTTCTGTGTTAAGGATCAACAATAAAAAGCATCTTTGCTAACAGCCAGCCAATCATAGTGGGTTTTGTTAAACAAATCTAAAGTTGTGGAAAGGACTTGGGATCACTCGAGCCTCACCGCCTTAAAGCAGCTAACATGTGGCTGTTTAGATGCTATATTTGGGTTGGTTTAGATACTATATTGATAATAAAGTTTTCATATTTGCTTCTGGCATCCTGTAAAAAAGAGATTCCGGTGAGAAGGTGACAGTATCATTAAGATCCAAGAAGTGGAAGTGTTTTTCTCACAACAGTTGTTCTCTGCTCTCTACCACATCCCATTTTAATGACAAATCTGTAACAAACGGAAGAATCCCAAGACTTCGCTCGAATACAGAAGTCCTACAACTCTACAGGAAGAATGAAACCTGTATCTTTAACAATCTTGGGTTTATATCCAGATTAAGAA